GAGAGAGAGAGAGAGGCAGAGGGAGAAGCAGGCTCCCAAGGAGCAGGGAGCCCGATGCGGGACTCGATCCCAGGACCCTGGGATCATGACCTGAGGCAAAGGCAGACGCTTAACCATCTGAGCCACCCAGGCACCCTGTAATATATTTAAACTGTACAATGTGATGATTTGATATATGTATACACTGTGAAATGATTCTCACAATCAGGTTAATTAGCACATTCACCACTTCACATAGTTACCTTTGTGTGTGTGTGTGTGTGTGTGTGTGTTAGAGAAAGAGAGAGAGAGAGAGAGAATTGGTAAGATCTCCTCTCAGCAAATTTCAAGTATGCAATACAACATAATTAATTTTAGTCACCGTGCTACATGTTAGATCCTCAGAACTTACTCATCTTATAACTGAAAGTTTGTACCCTTTTACCGTCCTATCCCATATTCCTACCTCCTAGTCCCTGGCAACCACCATTCTGCTCTGCATGAAAACATTCTTGGTATAAACAAATCTAGCAGTATCTAAGAGTATAGAGTAAAATGTTAAAGTCTTTCCTCACTTTTGTCCTCCCTCCCCTCCCAGGTGACTAGGTTACCCTTCCAGATGTTTGCAACCTTCCAAATGGTCTTCTATTCATTGCACAATCCATAGCGTGTAAACACACAAATGCCATACGTGAATCGTCTGTGTTATATGTACTGTTCTGTAACTTGCTTTGTTCACCTTACATGATATGTCTTATAGCATGAATAGGTGCCTGATATGGCAGAAACTCTTGGTTGACCCCCAGTTTTTATTTCACAATAAAGACTAGTTTCTCCAGCATTCTTTGCTGCTCACTGTGGCTATGTGATTAAGCTAGCCAATGTGATGTAAGTGGGAGAATATGTGGCGTCTTCTAGGGACTTTATCTAAGAAGAAGCTGACACCAGTCTTTGTCCCATCTTCTCACTTGCTTTCATCCTGCTGGCATGGGTGTGATGGCTGAAGCTGATGGTTGGAACTTCATCTTGGACCATGTGCCAGGGCCATATCCTGGCTATGGTAGAGTGGGAAGCTGAAAACAACCTGGGTTTCTGATGGTGTTCTGGTTCAGAGCTGTCATCCTAGCCCTGAGTGCTCTACCTCTGGAGTTTTTTTTGTTTTGTTTTGTTTTATTTTTATTTTTATTTTTAAAGATTTTTTATTTATTTGAGAGAGAGAGAATGAGAGAGAGAGAGAGAGAGAGCACGTGAGAGGGGAGAGGGCCAGAGGGAGAAGCAGACTCTCCGCTGAGCAGGGAGCCTGATGCGGGGACTCAATCCCAGGACCCTGGGATCATGACCTGAGCCGAAGGCAGACACTTAACCGACTGAGCCACCCAGGCGTCCCTACCTCTGGAGGTTTACATGTGAAAGAAATAAACTTCTGTGTAAAGTTCTGTTATTCTGTTACTGTTACTCAGAGCCAAACCTAATATTAAGTAATTTGTCTAACCACTAGCTTATTAAATAAGGACCTTCAGATTGTTTCCAGCTTTATTGCTGTTATTGATGATGCTGAACATGTTCACATTTTTCTTTAGGATAGATTCCTTAAATTTTTTTGCCAGTTCTTTTTAATCAGATTTATTGAGGTTTAATATACATATAATACAATTCATCCTTTTTAGCTTACAGTTCTATACATTTTGACAAATGCATGGATCATGTGGCCACTACCACAAGATATAGAACAGTTCCCTAACTACCCCCTCCCAAATTCCTCTGTATCCCTTTGTAGTCAGTCTCTGCCCATAGCCCCAGCTCTAGGCAAACACTGATTGCTTTTCTATGCTCATAGTTTTACTCCAGAATGTCATATAAATGGGATCAGACAGTATGTACTCTTTGTGTCTGACTTCTTCACTTAGCATAATTCAGTTGAATGCATTCATGCTGTTGAGTGTATGAAAAGTTTGTTAATTTTTATTGGATAGTTTCCCATTTTTTTGATGTACCACAGTTTATCCACTCACTAGTTGCAGGACATGAGTTGTTTCTAGTTTTTGATGAATATGAATAAAGCCACTATAAATATTCACATATAGGGTTTTATGTGAATGTAAGCTTGATTTATTTAATATCAGGTAGTGGGATTGCAAGGTCATATATATAGATGTTTATTTAATATTATAAGTAACTGGCAAACTGTTTTCCAAAGTGGTTGTATCATTTTGCATTTTCTTTCTTTTTTTTTTTTTAAGATTTTATTTATTCATAAGAGAGAGAAAGAGAGAGAGGCAGAGGGAGAAGCAGGCTCCCCGCTGAGCAGGGAGCCCGATGTGGGACTCGATCCCAGGACCCTGGGATCATGACCTGAGCCGAAGGCAGATGCTTAATCATCTGAGCCACCCAGGCGCCCCCATTTTGCACTTTTATCAACAATGAATGAGAGTCTAGTTGCTCCTTATCCTTACCAGCCCTTGGTATTGCCAGTTTTAAAAATACTTTTTGTGTATTCTTTTTTTTTTTTTTAAAGATTTTATTTATTTATTTGACAGAGAGAGACACAGTGAGAGAGGGAACACAAGCAGGGGGAGTGGGAGAGGGAGAAGCAGGCTCCCCGCAGAGCAGGGAGCCCGATGCGGGACTCGATCCCAGGACCCTGGGATCATGACCTGAGCTGAAGGCAGTTGCTTAACCAACTGAGCCACCCAGGCGCCCCTTTTTGTGTATTCTAATAGATGTGTGATAGTATCTTACTGTGGTTTAAATTTTCATTTCCTTAATGACCATAATGAGGAGCATCTTTTCATGTGCTTATTTGCCGTCCATATTTCTTCTTTGGTGAGTCATCTGTTCAGTTCTTCTGCCCATTTATGTATTAGGTTTGCTTTCTTACTGTTGAGTTGTGAGGATTCTTTATATATTCTGGATACAGTACTTTATCAATAGGTAATTTGCAGGTATTTTCTCATAATCCGTGTCTTGTTTTTTCATTTTCTTAGTGTTTCTCAAAGAGCACACATTTTAAATTTTGATGAAGTCTAAATGAGTATTTTTCTTTCAAATCATGTTTTGGATGTCATATCGAATGAATCTATGCCTAAACCAAAGTTACAAAGATTCTTCTTCT